ATATGTCATGTAATTTAAATTGAAAACCTCTTATTTTTAATGAAAAATATTATTATTAAACTATTTAAATTATTAACAATAATTTTAATAATTTTAATTTTACAATAAAACAAAATATCAACTGCTATTAAGTAAATTTTTTTTTTTGTAAAAACTATTAAAAAAAATGTAGGGTGAGTGAGGTCTGACTGTCTGAGCCCCCTAAAGGTGGGTGGTCCCCTCCATTCTTCTCTTTCCTTTGGTGGTAAATTTAACCCTTTTATTTTCTCTTTCTCAATTTAGTCAATCTTTCCAATCCATCTTCATCTTTGCACATGGCCTTGAATTCAATGCGTAAAAATCACACTTTGATACTTTCCCTCCTCTTTCTAATTTCCTCTCTATGTCTGGCATATGTCTTTAAAACCCTAATGAAACCAGATGGAATCATGTCTTATCACCCAGCAGAAGAAGAGAAACACAGTCCTCCAATGGCAACTGAGATTCATGGTGTGAAGATTGAGAGGAATCCTTCTGATTCTAAGCTCACAGAACTTGGAGTTTCTACATGGCCCAAGTATATATGTCAATTTCATCTCATCTTTTTATCTGTTTTCTTTCAATTTAGTTCCTCAAGATTCAGATATTGTGGGTTTTTTTAGTCTGTAGTTAGATTCTGAAATCTAGAATTTGCTTTCTTTACAATAGGGTTTGCTATGATTCACTGATATAGGTATTTGCCTTTTGTTACATAAGCAATCAGTTGAAGTTAGGTAGGATCAAAAGCAGAAAATTTTGTGTAAAGCTTGTAACTTTAACCTATATATGTACTTGTTTTTGTTAGATACTAAACAAATTCCAGTTTTATGGAAATATTGGGACATGTTTTGTGGAAGGTTAGTTTCACAACTTTTGAAACGTCTTGTTATTATGGGTATTCATTTTCAGCTCTGCAGCTCTACTTGACAGCATTTTGCTAACTGAACTCAATGATATATGGTGCTTGTGTGATATATCTTGTACATTAGCACATTGTGAACAAGTTTAACAATGAATTTTGGTCTAGAAAACGCATTTGATCCAAGTGACAAGGAACAAGTTTCTTTGCAACACTTTTCATCTTTTAAGGATTTTGGGCATATTCACTCATTTATGTTGGTGGATATAATTCAGTAGGGCATTTGCATATGATGCTGCTTAAACCTAAACGAGTATGTTTATGATGTTTTGATGTTCTATGAATAGGTATAGAGGTGAGCCGAGCAAGATCCCATGGACATTTAAAGCCACAGAGACAATGTATCTGCTAGAGGGGAAAGTCAAGGTTTATGTTGAGGGGCATGAAGAAGAGTCTTTTGAAATTGGGGCTGGAGACTTGGTTGTGTTTCCCAAAGGGATGAAGATCACCTGGGAGGTGATTGAAACTGTGAACAAGCATTATAGCGTGGAAAAGGAACAGAAATTAAACCCTGAGGTTTCTTAAGTTCAACTGATTCAGCTATCTATGATTGAGTGCGTTCAAATCTTTTGAAGTGGATTGATGACATCTTCTGTTGCACAATCTCGATTTCATTTTACTATAGTTGGTATTGTAGTTTGTTAACCCCATGTTTGGCATAATTATCATTATAAAATTCAGAGTAGGTATATCTACTGATGCATGCATTTCTTTCTATATAATCTCTATTTGTGATCATGGATTCCTTTCTAAACACAACAGTGCCGGAAGCATTATAAACAATTTTTTTT